TTAATTTAGACTCGAAATATTCTAAAATTGAAATGGTCTAAACAAGTGATTCAAACTTAAATTAAATATTTTTTAAAACTAAAATGTTGAGAATTGAGTCTCTATGAAACAACCGAAAAATATAGTAAATAGAGATTGAATTGACTTTTTGAGAAGTGTTGAGAATGGAGAAATAAAGATAAACAATAGACAAAATTTAGAGTGATTTAACTTCTTAATGAAGTCTACATCAACTATTTTATTTCCACACTAAGGATTTTTAACAAATTCACTAATTTATTCTTTATTTTTCTAGTCTCAAGAGTAACTTTTTTACAAATCTATATCTTTTCAAAAGCTAAGATAGAATCTCTCACCTTTTACAAAAGATAAAAAAATTGGGTAAACAAGAAATCTTTTAAAAAGTAAGTGTTTACAATTGGCTTAATACAAAATAAGTGTCTAAAAATATCTCAAAAAATATTTTAGTGCCTAAAGTATTTTTCGTTAAAAATAAGTGTCTAAAATTTTCTCCGTTATATTTTTAGGTGACTGTCGTTAAAAAAAACTGTTACGTGACACGTGTCACGTCTAGATTTTTTTAACAGTATGTACCTAAAAGTGTAATGGAGAAAACTTTTAGGCACCTATTTTTAGAGAAAAATTCTTTAAGCACCAAAAGTTAATTTTAAATATAATTTAGACATTTATTTTATATTAAACCTTTACAATTTAAGCTCACAAAAACACTATATATAAGAAAAAATGAAAAATAAAACTAATGTTGATTGCTTGGATATGTGTTGTAACCTTCTTCAAGTGTCATTAATAACTGTTAGGCTAGGTCAGTATCGATACTGGAGTTATGGTATCAATACTACTATTTAAAGTAGTATCGATGCTCCTTTGAGTATCGATACCAATTTTTCCTACTGTAATCTGAACACTTTTGAAAACAAAAAGCAATATCGGTACTGCCAGATGAGTATCTATACCTCTCTTACCTTATGTATCGATATTGTAAGAACAATATCGGTATTGTTCATATGATATAGATATTGTAAGAACATTATCGGTACTGGTTACCTAGAAAATTATTTTTGTGTTCAAATTCTTGTTTCATGGATTTTGAATTATTTTTTAAAATGTTGAATAAATTCAATAAAGTCCAAAAACATTTTACCCTTAATTTATTCTATCAAAACTTGTTCAACATAAAAAATTAATTTAATAAAAAACACTTATAACCTAAATTATTAATCTTTTTAAAGTTATTATTAACTTATAACTAGTAAATATATATATATATATATATATATTGAGTTAGTACATCTTTTTATGATGATTAGATTTAGAGAAATCAAAGATTATGATTAATTCCTTATTTTTTTAGTGAATATATTCTCATTTTCTACTATTAATATCAGTCTTTAATTTTTCTCATCCAATCGTCCTAAAAAGGTATAAAACTAAAATAATTTTACACAGTATAATTGAATCCTACCCCTATATATATATATATATATAATCTATACTTGAAAAAAAATAAAATCAAAATTTCTCTTGAATACATTTTTCATCTTCCACAAAAATTTATTAACTATCAATAATCTCTATGTTTCTCTATTCAAAACTAGACTCAATATTGACATAGAAATGAAGATTGAGAGAACCAATATGAGAGTTTGTTTCGTGAAAGATTCTAAATACATCTACAAATTATCTTTTGAAGGGCATTTTTAAAAATGGATTCTAACTATATCAGATCGTCGATCAGTGACAGAACTCAACATTATATTTTGAAAGGCATTTAAATTTTGTATATATTAACTATTTTAGTATTTTTTTTCAATGTAAATTATATATCGAGATATCATATTAATAAGATAAAATTTTATAAACCCTTAAAATTCATATGTTCACACAAAAATTCAAAGAAACAAAATTCATCTAGTTTTTTGTTTGCTCATGACACAACACAACTTATTACTTATAGCCATAAGAATATATCGATTTAATTTTATAATAAATTCACATAATATAAAAATTTAGTCAATAAATTATAAAATTTATATTTGTATAATCAAAATATTTAGAGACATTTTAATATATATATATATATATTTGTGCCTAAATTTTTATTTTTCGAGATACAAATTTATGAATTCATATAATGAATATATATTTAAAATAAAATAATTGATATAAATTGAATTAAAAAATATTTTAAAAATTACTTTCAACTGAAATGAAATACGTTCTTAATTAACATTTCTCATAATTTTTAAAAATTTTCATTAAGCCTCTAATTTTTTTAAAAAAAATTATTTAGACCCTAATTTTAAAAAAACTGAACTCTTCAAAATTTTAATTTAAACGTATAATTTTTTTTAAAATTTTAAATTCACCCTTTTAAGTTCTATTATCAAATTCCGCCACCTGACGTAATAACATAAGCATAATAAACCAGAGCAACAACAAAAATTTCAAATTTGTTAAGCAATATGCAAACGGGTGTTATCTCCACTTGGTCTCCATGTGAAAACACAACTCCTAGAAAGATCACTAATTCACAAGATAGAGAAAGTCTGTACAGACACACAAAGACAAAATAAAAGTGACAACGATATAAATTTCCTGCTTTTTGTCACAAACAAACAAGATTTTTTTTCATTTCAAAACTACCGTAACTTTCGTTATTTCATAATTATTGTATATTAGCTAAAAGACTATAAATTAGGACATGGCCCTATAAGGAAGGTACAATTTAATTTTTCATTTCAATTTCAAACTTAAAAAAATTCACCCTTATTTCAATTTTAAACTCGAATTTATTCCAAAGTTTTCGTAATTTTCTCTTCTATCTTTAAATTATATATATATTGAATGTAAAACTCTGAAAGGGATCTTATATGCAGATAATATCATAAACATTTTCAGATATCGTGTAATGCAACTAAATTAAGGGATAAAGTAAATAAATTGTCCTCGATAAGAGGGTATTGCTTTGTTAGTTCATCTGTCTATTAAAAGTTATAAACTGGTTCCCAAACTATAGGACATTTATTTTTTGAGTCACATGACTATTAAAAGTTACAAAATAATCACCTGACTATTGATATGTTTCAAACTTATTATTTTCTGTTAAAAATATGACGACAACCTAAGCTGAACGTTAATCTACCTATTGAGTTATGATAAAATTTGATATCAGAATCTCAAACGATTGTACAACGCAAATGGTTATGGACATCTTAGTTAACATGTTAACATTCAACTCAGACAATCGTCAAATTTTTTAATGGAAGAGTACAAAGTTTATAAATTATGAATAGTCATATAACCATTTTATAATTTTTAATAATCGAGGGACTCCACAAAATAATATCCTATAATCAAGGACCCATCCTTGGTGTACTTAAATTAAAATTAAGTTATAAGAGATATAAAACAATTAAACGGATGACTATAATGTATAAAATTAGAATATTTAATCGATAACAGATGAAAACCAACTCTATAGCTATTACATTTTTTAATAATCAAGAAACTATAAGTTATAGGAAGGAATCTGCTTTTTGGGCGTCAGATCTTGCGACCTTAACGTTTTGCATATATAATTTGGCCACGTCTGCTGATAATTAAACAGAACAATTAAATAATTAATCAATGCCAATACCATTTATGATTGTAATTACTAATAAATCCATATCCTAATGAGTTGTTCGGAAGTTACCATGCAGAATACATATCATAGTTTATAGAGCTGTGCTGCTTTGGATGCACTCTGTTGATAATGTCACCTTACCCTTTTCTTGTTTTCGTTTTTTGTCTACTCATAAGTATCTTATTGTATATGGTATTATCATATGATGTCCAACATCAAGTCGTTACACAAGTTGTGGTTAAATGTTTCTCTCTTTGAAGATTTTTTTTACATAATGTTTAGGTTAGGGTGACTCCCAATTTAGGGTCAGGCCATATTTAAAACCCAAATGAAATTTATATAAAGAATTTACATATTGTCCACCAAGAGTGACGATGGTAAGATTTGAACTTGAACTTACAAGCTCAAATTCTTGAATCTCAATCACTTGTGCCAACACTCGTTAGCCACTTTCAAGAATTCTCGTGTTAAAGAGATCAATTATTATTTTCGACTATGGATTTCTTGACTTGGGGAGAAAACATGATATATCAAAATTATTGTTTAAGTGATTGCCGTGCCAAACTTGCCTTAAAGTTGATTCTGTATACATTTTAAGAATGATTCTATATAACATATATATATAGACTAGATTCCTGCGTGTTAACTCTAGAGATTAACTAAATGGGGTTGTATATGCTTAAGACCTAAACCAATCGGCTTCGTATGATCCAAAGTCTCTTTTTTTTTTTGGGGGTGTGTGAAATTAAAGGTTATACTTGTACGGCCATGGGATTTTCAACGTGCTTTGGAATCTTACAGTTGAGAATCCACTGCGGGCATTGAAGATATTGCTATAATAGTGTACTCCATGAACTTTATTTCCCCTTTCTATTTTGGAATACTGATTGATGGGAAAATGAGTTTGAATGGTATTTTATTTCCTGTAATCTTTTCTATAGGTGACTAAAGTGTATAGTATCCATGGCAGGAACACTTGACAAGGTCTCCTAATCTTGAATTTATGCCGGTATCTTATTTTGGAATTATTAACGCCATAGATGCCTATGTTGAAACCTTCACTAGTCCCTTTGATTCTCATGTTCATAGACCTCTTTTCTTGGCTTCTGTTTCTTTTGTTCTTTTGGTTACTGAGAAAGTTGGAAACATAATTTTATATTTGTCAATTCTTTAATTTATTGTTCTTTTTTTAAATAAAAAATGAGCTTCGGTCGTGTCAAATTGTGAACAGATGAATGTTCATTCCAATCCATTCTGTTGCAACATATATTATATTAATATCTTAAACATCAAGCCTCTGAGGAATATAAATGAGAATTTTTCTACCATAAATCTTAATTCTTCACTGCTATGGTTCTCCTTATCTGCATCTTCTTTTCTTTGATTTTAGCGCCTACTCTGCGTGGCTTTTAATCTTATAATCGATTCATACTAATTTAGCTTCACCTTGAAGTACCAAATTCGGAGTTGTAAATGAACACTCAGAAGATTGGTTGCCAAGAACATGTAGAACAGAACCTTGGGTTCATTAGGGACTACAGTTTTGATCATGTTGGTTTCCAACAGCCTTGGATCACGGGATCACAGCAGCCGAATCTTGGAGCTTCTAAGTCGTTGTCGTCGTCATCGACGAATACGATCATGGGTGGTTTTCAGACGCCCGGTGCTGCCTTTTATGCAACTGAAAGATGTATGGGGTTTCCCCAGTACGGGTCGTCTCAAGGAGGAGATGCTTTCTGCTCTCAATACAACAACAAGATCTGTAGCAATTCACAGTTTCCTTCGTTTCATGGCTTGGACGAGAACTTTTCGATCCAATCGATTGCTCGAGGTGAACCGGACTATGAACCCAGAAACACGTTGCAGTCACTGGTGAAATCCCAGATTTTTTCATGCACCAACATACAAACGAGCCAGGTTCGGTCACATGATCCATGTAACTTGCTTGGAAATAATGCTGCCACCGTGGTGAATCACTTTTCGGTTCCTTTCCGAGGAAATCAGGAGCAGAGAGTAAGCTATTTGTTCATTTTAAAATGAATTCCGATTAATATCGTGGTGAAATAAGTTTGTCCTGACCATGTCTTAGCCGTTTCACTTTGCAGGTTTACTGTAATTCACATGGTTCTTCGCCTGCAAAGCTAGGCTTCTTTCAACAAGAGAAGCAATCTTCAAACTATTCATCTGGTTACAGTAACGCCGCTACGAGCGGCTCGGTGATCGCTAGTAAAACTCGAATAAGGTGGACGCAGGACCTCCATGACAAGTTCGTGGAGTGCGTTAAACGCCTCGGGGGTGCCGAGAGTAAGTGAACACTGCAATACCATCTAGGGAATTCACTGTTTGATTCTTAAAACAATTTAGTTACGTATTTCTTTTGATCAAACAGAAGCAACACCCAAGGCAATTCTGAAACTGATGGATACTGAAGGATTGACCATCTTTCATGTTAAAAGCCATCTGCAGGTACTAATTCAATTTCAACAACTTGGGATGATGATTAAGATATGATATCGTAACTAAATGCTAATATCAGATTCTGATTTCTTACAGAAATATCGAATAGCGAAATACATGCCAGACTCTGCTGAAGGTATAATTCACTATTATGACTTCAATCTCAAGCAACGATCTAATGGTATTACGAAAATTCATAGTCTCCTCTCATCAAATATCCTTCTCCAGTTGCAGGGAAATCGGAGAAAAGAACGAGTACAAGAGACGTAACTCAGATCAACGACAAAACGTAAATTTCCGAACCCCTTCTTATCCTCCAAATATGTTCTCCTAGTCAAATGCTATATGTTAGGTGCTGCAATTTCATCGAGATTCGCAATGTGTCCAGCAGTGGCTTGCACCTCACAGAGGCATTGAAACTTCAGTTAGATGTGCAGAGGCGTCTTCATGAACAATTAGAGGTATAACAATGCTCTTTGATTCTATTTCGTTTTCATGGTATGTCTTGTCCTGTTTCCATAACCGTGAAAATTGAATCCTGATTCCTTTTTGGTGTCTCAGATTCAGCGAAATCTGCAGTTGCGGATCGAAGAACAAGGAAGGGAGCTTAAGATGATGATTGATCAGCAACAAAAAACAAGCGAAAGCCTCTTGAAAAAACAAGATTCCAACATCACAGCATTCGATCACGATCCATCGTTTTGCTTCGAAGATGTCGAAGCCTTGATTGCTGAAAGTTCAGGAACTTCTCACCATCCATCCAAGATAAGTTAGAGCTTAGCAAGTTCATGTCCCATTTAAATACAGAAGGAAAAACTCAAGCTTTCATGGCGTGACACCCGAGGAACAAGACTGTCATACAAAATGTTAATGGAACTATTTATGCACATCAGGCTCTTATAACAATGACCAGTTTTAAGTACCACAGACTGGTGAATACAATTCTATTGCAAGACGTTGCATAGTTTCAGGAGAAACTGTTTTTGGCATATGGAACAACTTTATTTAGAAATTGTTTTTGTTTATTTAGTTTGATAATATTTTCTTTAATTATTGTAATAACCAATCTCTATTTAAGGACACGGTGAATAAAACAAGGTAATGTAGTCCATGACAATAGATGAAAGTGTTCACTTTTCCATCCATTTCTTCTCCTTATAATTTGGTATAATTATATATCTAACCCTCAATATTTATAGATTTTTTATTTGATATCAATTCTAAAAATATTGATAAAATTAACTCTCAATATTTACACATTTTGTCAATTTAATCAAGATTATAAAAAAAATAATACCAATCACAAGTAAGATAAATGGGTGAGTAGTAATCTATTATAATGTATTCATAATATAAAATTATCCATTTTGCTCATTATCACAAGTTTCTTCACTTCTTTCATAATAATGTATTCAATTTTTAAGTAAGATATTAAAATTAGAAGTGATAACGATCATGTTCGAATGAATTTAGATTAAAATTTATTTAAAATTAAATTGTTTTGAGTTTAGATTTTCTCATATTGGAATTAGGTGTATTCATTTTTTTAAAATCGGTTTTTCTTCAATTCAAGACTTTAAGTATTCAAAATTTTCGATACAAATAAATTAGGGCCAGACTTATATAAATTCTAATAATTTTGAAGTTTATAAATTATTATAAGATTAACTAGAAAATAAGTGTCCAAATTTTTTCTATTCATCAAGTGTCTAACATTATAAATGTGATCATTTTTAGGCGCCTCGACCGCAACGTCCGTTAAAAATTTCATTAAATGACCCGCATCATATTTTAGTATTTTGAGGATTTTATTTTCTAAAAAATTAAAAATATTATTATATTTAAAAATAACCCTAATATCTCTTAAATCACGAAACAATCCAAAATTCCTAAGAATCCTAAGTCTCTAATCCTAACCCGTCGACCTGCCAATGTCGTCCTTGTCGGCCATGACCACTGCCACTGACATTGTCCTTGCCATCTTCTTTGTCAAGTATCATCTTATCGTTGATTGGTCGTTGGGATCGCATGAATTGCGAGTTGTAGCATCGGGGTTCGTTAGGGTACACACGTCAGTTGGCCATTGATTGGCTCCTATTCTAATGGGTTTTCAAGGGGTTATTGGTCGCCGAGTGGAGTTTAATCGACGGCAAATGGCGACGGAAGATACGAGTTTAGGGGTTGAAGTTAGGGTTTCAAAATTTTGTTTTTTTTTAAATTTTGTAAAATTTGGTTTTTTAATTAATAATATTTTTAATTTTTAAATAAAATTTTTAAAATTATCAGAAATTGATTGTGCTCTTTATTGGCCATTACGGTCGAGGCATCAAAAGTGGTAACGTTTGTAACGTTAGGCACCTGAATGAATCAAAAAAAAAGTTTGGGCACCTATTTAGGAAATATTGTATAGTTTGGACATTTATTTTCTAATTAAGCCATTATAATATATCATATTTATAGCATATATGATTAATGAAAAATTGCAGTATTTATGTATTATATATTTCTAATAATATGTATACAAGTATTATTGTTTCAAATAAATCTGTACAAGATGAGCTTAATTTATCATTCTTATATTTTACAATTCTATATTACATCATTAGAACGTATAACTCAACAAGTAACTATGATATTATACTATATCATGAATCTTATTATAACGAATGACTAATCAAAATTATCTTTTATATGTATTACTTATAATTAATTATATGTATATCAATATTATAAACATGATTAATATAATATGAATTATTAAAACATCAATTTTATTATAGTTATATGCAGGATGATATTATTAATCATGTAGTTACTTTGATTTTTTTAAGGCAAAAGGGTACTTGAGGTCAGGAACGGATGCATAATTTTATGTTAGAGGAGGCAAACTTGAACTTATAAAATTTCGAGAGGGCGAATAAAATTTTAGGGGGCAAAAACAGATTTTAAATAAAAAATACATAAAAAATCTAAAATATATAGTAATTTCCCCCACCTAGGTCCATCCTTGCTTGAGGTCCTCGAACTTTTCAAAAAAAAATAATGTGGCCTTCCACTTTTTTTGCACCCAATCTGACCCTTAAAGTAAGAAAAAAAATTCAATGTGATCATTTAACAAACATTTTCTGTCATTAACTAACGACTTTGTTATTTTGTGTTGATGTGACTCGCTAAACATGCCAACATCCTATTTTTTTTCTCTTAATATGACCCTCTAACTCAAGAAAATAACTCAATTTAGCCCTCATATTTTTTATCTTATATTTTGGTCATAAATTTTAAAAGTTTTTAATTTAATCACTCAACTTTTGAATTGCTCATATTTAATCATCATGATTTATTTTATTAATATTTATATGTATGATGAGGCATAAAGTATGATGTGACATTTTTTTTTCAACCAAAGATTTCTTTTTTCCTCTTTCATTACCATATTCATGGAATCCAGATTGAACTTATAAAAAGAAAAAAGAAAAAATTGGGGATGAGCTACTTGACCAGGTAATGGAAGAAAAAAAAAAGAGATCTTTTGTTAAAAAAGAAGAAAAATGAAATGAGAGGATAAATGAGGAGAGTAGAGATTTGAAAATATAGAAAGTAGAGGGAATATTAAATATATAAAGCATACATGGAAATATAGAAAGTAGAGGGAATATTAAATATATAAAGCAAAAAAATTTCCTTTTAATTCCAGATTCAGCGAACACATATTGAACTTGTAAAAAAAGAAAAAAAATAGAGATGAGCTACTTGACGAGATAATGGAAGAAAAAAATGTGGTTGAAAGGGAAGAAAAATGAAATGAGAGGATAAAGGAGAATAGTGGAGAATTAGAAATATAGATATTAGAGGGAATATTAAATATATAAAATAGAGGAATTTTTTTTAATTTAATTATAATTTTAGGAGTATTTTTTTTGTTTAAATATAATTTTAAAATTTTAATTTAGCTAAAATTATTTTAATCATATATTAATAAAATAAGAATAATAAATGTTACATCAAACATAAATATTAATAAAATAAATCATAATGAATAAAATATGAACAATTCAAAAGTTGAGTGATTAAATTAAAAACTTTAAAATATAGTGACCAAAATAGAAGAGAAAAAAGAGAGTCAGATTGAGTAATTTTCTTGAGTTAGAGAGTACGATTAAGAGAAAAAAATAGGATGTTGGTCTGTTTGTAGGAATTTGTAAAACCTCATTGGGTCACTGCAACTGCTTCATGGCAGCCACTGTATCACTCGACAAATATTAAACAAACCTACTGCCGGAGGTGCTCTCAAAGTTACCAAATTTCAAGATAAAATACCAAAGCTTAAACCTTCTTCTTTTTTGCTTCAAACTTGAAAATTGAGTTGAAAAACATCATTCCTTTTCTGCTCTCTCTAGCTATTTAGCTTTTTAACAAAGATTCATATTCGATCAATTTAATAATAACCCATTTTCGAAACCTTAGAAAACCAGCTACTCTCAACTGGGTGTCTTCTCATTTTTTTGAAAACCAATTCAAACCCCCAATTTTGGAATTGGACTTGTTTCACATCGCACAAAGGCAAAACCCTAGTATTTATAGGATAAAAGGGTCAGTTGAAACTAAAAGGTGTGGTGGTTTAGACGTTGCCAAAATCTCTTGTGCTACTTTGAAAGAAGCTCAGGCTGCGTTGTTGGAATATTTGCATTGTATTAGGAATATTCTGTTTATGGATGCTGAACTTATGAGCAAAAACTCACATGAATTTTTAAAAAATCTTTTGAAAAGGGTTAACATTGTTAGTGATGTTGGAAGCTCTATGAAGCGGTTTTTGCGGTATCATCCCATTAATGAATTTGAACCTTTCTTTGAGAGTTTGGGACTGAAACCTTGCGAGTATACTCCTTTTCTTCTTAGGGATTTGATGTTTTTAAGTGATGATTCTTTGTTATTAGAGAACTATAGGGTCTTGTGCCAATTTGGGATTGAACGGAATAAGATAGGTCTGATATATAAGAATGCAGTTCAAGTTTTCCAACTTGAATTTGGAGTTTTACCATTAAAGCTTCAAGCTTATCAAGAACTGGGGCTCAGTGAGTCATTTATGGTCAAGATTATTGTTTGTAGTCCTTGTGTTCTTATTGGTGATGTATATATGAAATTCATCAATGTATTAGAGATTTTGAGGAGTATGGAATTCAATTATGCTTGGATTAAGGAGCATTTGTTCGAGCATGATTCATATAATTGAAGCATGATACTTTGTGTTCTGAACTTCTTTAGCGAGACATACTGCAACAGTGAGTTAGTAGGCTTAATCAACCAGCATCCGGGGTTTTTGTTTGAGAGCTCTGGGTATGCAGCATTTTAACTAAGAGAAAATAACCTCAGTGACCAAAAATGCCTTATAATATACGAATTTAACCAACTTTTTTTTTGGATTTGCCAAAATGACTAACAAATTCGCAACGCGAATTCCAATTTCGCAACCCAGTTTCCAATTTCGCAACGTGAATATGTAAATTGCATTGCGATTTTCCAAATTCGTAACGCGAATTTAATTTCGCAACACAAATGTTTTGGGTATATAACAACGCAGCAGCAGCAACTCATAACCTAAGTCCCTAAATCGCAACTCATTCCATCTCCATCTATCATTTTCTCCGGCGACATCCGTTCCTATATCCAACGACATCCTTCCACATCTCTATTTTTTTACATAATTTTATTTCTATATAATTTTTCAATGATTTCTCTCCCAAATTATCAACTATCAACTTAATAAAGGTATGTTTTTCTCTAAGTTAGTGATGA